CATGCATAACAGCAGCTAGTAGAAGGGCGTGTGCGTATCTTGAGATAAACAATTTCTCGGACCAGACATCAGGTTCCTTAGTATATATCATAAGTTGACGAGATTATGTCCATTGAAGACTCACAAGCAGGGAGGGGAATTAATGGCGCAATCATTAATTGGTTGGACCAATATAATCAAATTTGGAAGCTTAGGCAAAAGACTAGCAATTTTGATCCAAATGGGAGTGTAATTGGTAGTTTTATTATTATTATTTAATTTAGAAGTATCTGCTTGACTAGGAGTATTAATTAGAAATTGATTAGGAAATTATTATAGAGTTTTAGTGAATAAAAATTTGAGAATTTGCTTATAAAACTCTTAATATTTTAGTAGGAGAGTAATTTTTAGTTTAGTAGGATACTTAGCCTATAAATATCAATGTAATCCCCACTATTTTTATTAGAGTGATATAATAAAAACTTGTTCCTCGGTAGAAAATTTTGTTTGTTTCTTGACCTAATCCTTGCAAGGGTCTCTTCTTCTTCTTTCTATGCTCTTATTTCTTCCTTTTCCATCCCACATCAGGAATCTATAGAAAAATAGCAACTATCTCTATTACTTGAATCATCTTGATTTGCCGATCTTTATATAATTTGTAGTGTATTATAATTTCCTTAATATCAGTTTACTATAAATAAAAGTGTGTTGGGCAACATAGCCTACACACAACAAATTATTCCATTTCTCTTTTTCTCTTTTCTTCTTTTCTTACAAACCCTAACACTGCTTCTACAATTTCAACTTGGTATCAGAGCATTGATTCTAGTTTGTTATTTTTTCTTTTTCCTTTTTTCCATGAACAATGTTTCGTGAGCATTTTCAACTGAATAGTAATAACACGCGTGATCTTGTTTGGTTGTTGTGTGATTTGTTATTTTAGATGATGGATTCTACTTTAGTTCTTCATCGGAATTGCAACTAGTAGTCTCAGTCATTTGTTGCTTGTTTTTTGGCATTCATTTTTTTGTTGTTTGATCACTATTCCGTTGTGGGGAAGTTTCAATACAAATTAAATAGGTGCGATTAGATTCTAGGAAGTGGGATTTTTCAATGTGATTCCTGAGTTTTTGTGTTTGACTACTGTTCCGACCTTGAACAGTGATCGGAGCAGCTCTAGGTTGCTCCAATGTGGTGTCGTTTTACCCTATATTGGCTTCTAGATATAGGGTTTTTGGTTGTGGTTGAGGATCTATGGTGAGTTCGCTTCGATGCACTACTTTGCTCAATCTTGTCTTATTATTTGTTAATATCAGGTTGTTGATTAAACTTCTACAGTCTCTGGTTCAAATTTGAATATTCTGTTGGTACTTTCTACATTAGTATGTGTGGTTGCCGACATTTGGTGTATTGGTGGATTTTTTGTGGTTTGATTTTTTATGATTTAACACTGCATAATTACTTGTGGGTTTCTTTATGGCGACTTTGAAGGGTAGTAATGGTTGTGTTCATGGTGGCAGTTGCGATCTACCCCATAATGTTAATTGTAGAGGTCTATACACAGGATATAATGGATGTGGTGGTCCAGTTGCTTCTAGTTCTGCTTCTCATGCAATCTTTCTTCTCAGCTTACGCAACTCATTCACAAGTTGTCGTCACTCTCTTCAAGTTTGTCTGCTTCTATTGCCGGTGTTGCTAATGGAGATACCACAAAATGCATGGTTACTGAGCCTTCTTCGTCTTCTTGGATTATTGGTTCAAGAGCTAGTGCTCATATGTCGGGTATATCGTTCCAATTCTCTAATTTCCGTGCCTCAAACTCACTCTAATGGTTCCTTTCGACCAATACATGGGATTGGCGATATTAGTCCCACTAAATCCTTGCCATTAGCTGATGGTTAGTCCATTCCTAATCTTTCCTTTAATTTATTATATTTAAGTTAGCTAACCAACTCCTTATAGTGTTCAATAGCCTTCTCTACATCTTCTTGTATTTTTTACGATCTCAAGACAAAAAAAATAATTGGTATGGGACATAAGCACAATGACCTTTATTACTTGGATCGCGAAAGCTCCTTTCCTGCCAGAAGTGCAAATATGTCTCTTCTACAATGACATTTTCGACTAGGTCATCCTTCATTGCAAAAATTGTGTCAAGTCATCCCTGGTTTGAGTTCCTCTTTTGTGTTAGAATGTGAAGCTTGTCAACTAGGCAAGCATCACCATAGATCCTTTCCTCTTAGCTCTTCAAGTCATCAATCTAGTCCTTTTCATATTGTTCATACTGACATTTGGGACCTACAAGAGTTAAAAGTACTTCTAATTTTTAGTATTTTGTGATCTTTGTTGATGATTTTTGTCGTATGGCTTGGTTATTTCTTATGAAAGACCGATCTGAGTTATGCAAGGTCTTTACCACCTTTTATAATGAAATTCTAACTCAGTTTGGTGTTCGTATTAAAGTACTTCCGTTTAACATATGAAAATCTTTTGTGCTGACTGTGGCATTAATTATCAAGCCACCTATACTCGTACCTCCTAACAAAATGGTATTGCCATACATAAGCATTGTCATTTGTTGGATGTTGTCTACACGATGATGTTCAAATGCTATTTTTACTTCAATTTATTTTATTAATCACATGTCTTCCCCAATTTGGACAACAAATCTCCCTTCTCGTTGTTTTATCCTGATAAACTGTCATTTAGTCTCACTCCTCGTGTCTTTGGTTATGTTACATTTATTCAACTCTTTGATTTAGGTAAGGATAAACTTTTGTTTGGCTTGATTAAGTGTATCTTTTTTGTAATATTCTCATACTCGGAAAAATTATCGCTGTTAGACCTGTTTCTCGTCGATACTATATCAGTGCTAATATCACATTTTTCGAGTCATCCTTCTTCTTTTCTATGTCAAGCGATACACTTTTCCCAGATTTAATTTTTTCCAATCCGGGGGAGCCTTTGTCACCCATTGTGCCAAACTGGGTGTCTTCTTCCTCCCCAAGTCGTCCTTCTCTTCCTCCTCCTCCTCCCCCCTTTGCAAGTTTATCATCGTTCCAAGAATAGACAAGATGTTCTATATACTCTAGCTCCACAACCATCACCTAATTCTATTCAGGTCCTGTCCCTTGAGCCAACACCTAGTTCTTCATCTTCTAATTTGTCTATTGCATTAAGGAAAGGTACATGTGATCGTACAAAGCATCACATTTCTAATTTTGTTTCTTTGTATCGACTTTCACCATCCTTTAGTTGTTTTGCTTCGACTCTGCCTTCGGTTTTTGTTCCTAATTCTTTGAAATAGATATTGGTATCTCCTAGTTGAAAATTGATTATAGATAAGAAAATGAAAGCCCTTTAATGAGAATTAGACATGGGACTATACTTCTCTTCCTTCTGGTAAACAGTTTATTGGTTGTCATTGAGTCTACATAGTGAAGTATCATCATGATAGTTCACTTAAGCGTCTGAAGGCCCGTCTGGTTGCCAAGGGCCACACCCAATTGTGTTCATTACTATGAAACTTTCGCTCTTGTCATTCATCTTAATTATGTTAGAGTTCTTATTTTGGTTGCAGTGAGTTGTGATTGACTTTTGTATCAACTGGATATCAAGAATACTTTTTTACATGGAGCCTTGCAAATGGAGGTACATATGATATAACCTTTAGGTTATGTTGTATCTGGTAAGAAACAGTTAACGAGTCGTCTAAAAAAAACATTATATGGTTTGACGCAATCACCATGTGCTTAATTTGATAAGTTCAGTACTGTTGTAGTTTTCAGCGTTCTACTTCAAACCATTCAATTTTTATTCGTCTTTCTTCCACATGTGTTATTATTCTTCTTGTGTATGTTGATGACACTATCATTAGTGATGATAACTCAGATGACATTGCTCACTTTAAGATTAATTCGGAGAAACAATTTTATACCAAAGACCTAAGTTTTCTTCAATAATTTTTTAGGATTGAAATTGCTCAGTCAAAAGAAAGTATTAGTTTGTGTCAATGGAAATATATATTGGATTTGTTCTCTAATACTCTTGGTGCACATCTAGTTGATACTCCCATGAACTCCACGATTAAGTTGAATAATGATAGTGATCAAGTTTTTGATGATACTGGACGTTATCAAAGGTTGGTTGGTAACCTGATTTACCTTACATATCCTAATATTACCTATGAAGTTGGAATAGTTAGTCAGTTCATGCATACTCCTCGTAAGCCCCATTAGGAGATTATTTATCGTATCATTCAGTATCTGAAAATAACACCTGATAAAGAATTATTATATCATCCTTCTTCCACCATAATCGATCTATTTCAAGTTATTGTACATTTATTGGTGATAATCTTATTACTCGGTATAGCGAAAAATAGAATATAATTGCACGTTCGAGTACAGATGCTGAATATTGGGTTTATGACTCGTACTACATCTGACATGTTGTGGGTTCGTTCATTACTTTGTGATATGGGTATCAATGTGCCATCTCCTGTGGAGATGCATTGTGACAACCAAACAACTATTTTCATTGTCAACATTCTGGTATTCCATGAAAGGACTAAACACATTTAAGTAGATTATCATTTTATTCTAGATCTCTTAATGTGTAAGGAAATTATTAGACCATACATCAAGTGAGGTGATCATTTGGGTGATATCATTTGGGTGATATTCAATAATCTTTTTTCCAAGTTAGAAATTTTATATCTTTATACTCAAGCTTGAGAGGGAGTATTATAATTTTTATTTATATTATTAATAGTGTAGGGTAATATTGTAATTTTTCTAATATCAGTTTACTATAAATAAGAGAGTGCAGAGCAACATAGCCTACATACAAAAGATTATTCTCTTTCTCTTTTTCTCCTATATTCTCCTCTCTTCTCCTTTCCTTTTCTTACAAACTCTAATGCTGCTTCTACAATTTTAACTACCGACACTGCACGATAAATTATATTCAGCTACTAAATAGAGAATATCATACTCTTTGATACCTAATTACCTCTCTAGCTACCAAATAGAGCGCCCACTAAGCTCAGCATGACCAAGGATATTACAAATAACGCAAACAGCATATGCCACAGGACTAGATAGCCTCACAGTCAAGGAGTAGATGATCGACCACTTCATCACACCCTATTACACATGCATGACCGATGGGTAATTTACCTTGCCCTCCTAAAGGTGCCAATGGTCCATGTCCATCCAAAACTGCCACCTTCAACATAGATTCGATTCGCCAAATGCCTTTCCAAGGGAGTTCCAACATATACCAATACATATTTACATCCACTTAGACAATGATAATTTATTCCAAGCAATGTAAGAATGGTCATCCAAAAGAAAAATAAATGAGAAGGGCTGTTGAGCGCCACCTTAAGAAAGAAAAACCTCATGCTACTGAAACTTTCGAAGTGAGCTAAGACATCTTCCGCATGGCTCAAATATCATCGCTCCTATCAAACAACACTTCTATATCATCCAATAAAATCTGGTGGAAAAAGATCTATAGTATGTCCAAAGAGATGGATGCATTTCCATGCATACTATTCCTCTCCAAGCCCATCCAACAATATTATAGAGAATTAAAGAACAAGAAGAAAAAGAAAAATGGGAAAAGAAGATCCTAGAATTCACACCTTCAATAGATCCTAGGATACACACCTATAGCCTTTTAAGCTTCTCACTAGTCTACATTCAGGCAGATTAATTACTTCATTTTTTCTCTGCAATTCAGTAGAGTAACTTCACAAAAGATGATAAAGTATAACTGGAGTCAAACTCAAGAGTTAGTAGATAAGGTCCCAATTGGACTATCCGAACCAAATGCATGAACCACCACTGAAGGGCATAATTGTCAAATCGCGATTCGTATAGTGAATCTGAATTCTAAATTTGAGAATCGTGAATTATAAGATTCGACTCAAAATTTGAAGAAAAATAAAAAATAACACTACATATTTAAAATAGATAAAATATTAAATATTAAACATTATTGCATTCTAAATATAATCAATTGACATAATCACGTCGTGTAAATGAACAGACGCTAGCCTCTTTTGCTTCATTTTCATCTTTTACTTAGTCATTTTCAAATTTAACAATTTGAAAAAAAAAAATTCAAAAACCAAAATAATGACATCTAGTATAAATTAGGTTACAAACATGAATGAAAAAAGAACAAATAAGAAAATTGATTGGGAGAAAACATACAAGCTAACATTTTGAAACAAAAAATTAAAACCTGACCAACTACCTACGAAAGAATTAAGAGCAAAAATCAACCAATGATGTGAAAGTGTTAGTCATGACCTTTAACTTTAGACAATGGCGTTAGTTCCTCTGCAAACAAAACGACGTCGTTTTATTGTTTAGCGAACAAAATGACGTTATTTTGCCAAAACTTTAGATTTTAAAAAAAAAGTGATCAAATCGTGCGATTCATGTAATACGAATCGAATTGTACGATTCAGGTGCGATTCAACTTTAAAACGATTCTCATATAAGATACAAATTATTTTGTCCCTATATTGAACCAAATTGTACGAATCGAATCGCGAATCGTACAATTTTGATAACTATGTTAAAGGGTGCTAGAAGGAAGAGGTCACTACACGATTTGCTTCCTTTAACAGGACTGTTCTAGTAGGAAAAATCCACTACCGGATACATCCACTTTAACAGGAGGGTTCTAGAAGGAATTTACTGACTATAGAACTACCCATTCCATGTACCAACACCATACCCCAAAATCTTCTTGCTTTAGATTTGGCATTTCTTGAGCCTCTCATTGGATACATCACTAAAGAACTTCGAATGCAACAGAGCCTACACGTTCATCATGATTTAATAAAATAACTAACAACCAAAACAACACTAATAGGTATTATTTTTCTTCAAAAAGGGTCTCTATCTAGTTTCCGCTCTGTTCATCTGCGTTTGGCCCAAAATCAATTGGAGTGGTGTGGACAGACACAAACTCATCCATCGACAATTGTTTGCACAAAGTGTTCCCACTTCGACAATATTCGCACAAAGTTTCTCACCATTCTTAGCTCACTACTTTTACGCCCGCATCAATCAATAGCTCCAACTCTTATAAATAGAATTGAGAAATTAAAATTTGTAAAAAAAACCGACCTCTCGTGGAATTGTATCGGTCCTGGGATCACCGGGCAATTCCAGAACAAACGAATGGTCCCAATTTAATTCTTCAAGCTTCAACTTGACCACCCCATTGTTATCGTCCAAGCTCTGTTTCTTAAAGTCATCGGCGAGCGACGAACTGTCGGCGTTCACCATCGACGGAGAATCCATGGAAGGAATATCGGTGGCTGAAGTTCGTTTAGAAACGACGTCGCATGCAACGGAGAAGCTGGATTTCGATTGGAAAGGGTTGGAGGGGTAGAAGTGGAATTTTGTGAGGGATTTGGTGGTGGAAGATAGGAGAGAACGACGGAGGGTTAGAGCGGTGGCACAGAGAGAGGAGCGAGGGAGCGATGCTGAAATGTGGGAAAGCATTGCTGACCTGACCCTTTATACTTAATATCTCTGTATCTATACTCTAGAAATCATATGTTTATCTCGGATCCGGCAAGTCTGCTTTTCGCTAAGAACAGCAGGGGCTGCCGTTCGCCTAAAACTACACCGTTTTGCACCTCTTGTTTTTTTTTTCCTTGTTAAATGATACCGTTCCAATTTCCCTTAATTCAAAAAAACTTTTAAGCAAAAAAATTCAAAATTTTGATTGTTTATATGTAAGCTTTTCTCTGCTCTATTTGACATGACTATTTTTTTTGTGGATTCTTATTTGTTTGATTAGGAAATTTGGGTAGTTTTTAGCATAAGAAACAAGACATTGGTTTGTGTTTGATGATTCATTTTTTGATTTTTAAACAAAAAGAATGGGTTTCTTCCACTTATGTAAAGAAAAGAAAATGGGTGAAGGGTCCTTAAATCCACAAAATGGGTTTGTGGCTATGGGTAATAGGCCATTTTTAGATTCTCAATTATGAATTTATGATTATAATTATTGATGATGCTCATAACACGATAGAGCAGAGTGATAAATATACAATGCACTGAGTAGTTCAATCTAAGCTCCAAGGCTCTTGCAAATAGGATCGAGAGAATTGGATTATCACACAGAAAATGTATTGTGGTTCATCAACTTAGGAGCTCGGCTAATCCACTCTTAAATGAGTCTCTTATTCCTTGTGAATATATTAATAATGAGGGCTTTTATAAAGAGTATATGAGGGAGATTACAATTTCTTCTTGTTTTTGTCAAGGGTTTTGACTCTTATTTATAGGTGTCTTTGGGCCTAGCCTAATTTATGGCGAGATCCTTGTTTTTTTTTCTCGTAACTTTTGCTTGTATTGTGCAATGGCTATGGTGAGTGTTGGAGCAGTTAAAAACCTTTTGTCTGGATAAGTGACTGTCGTTATCATGGTGATGCTTAGTGGGGGCCAGCTGTCTTTTATGCTGCCTTTCCTGAGATGCAGATGTGGGGAGCTCGGGATTTGAAATTGAGATCTATGGACAACTTAGATGAATTGAGCTCCTAACCTAAGAGATCATGACTTGTGTTATTGAACTCAACCTTATGTGTATTCAAGGTACCATTAGTTGTAATTGTAAAACTCAGGTAAATTTGAACTTTTTATGAAAAAAGCTAAAACGGTAATTTACCACTATAGTACAAGTTGAAAACCCAAATTTTTTTAGATCTAGCATGACAAAATAGATCTCACTGTTGAATTCATCTCGCAAAATCTAATTACCCTATAAATTTTCGTCGAAATTTGAGATAGTCAGATTTTTCACATTTTACGAGACAACTGGGTGTCGAGTGACCTCAAAAATGAACCTAGGACTTACATTTAAAAAATTGGATAATAATTTAAAGGAAGTTCATATAAAAATATTTTAAACTTGATCAAGTACGAAATTTAATCGTTTTGAGACAAAATCAGACCTTAAAAAGGAGGACGTGACACGATGTGGACCAAGCATTTAAAGAGTATAAATATGTGAGAAAATCAGATTTTCTCTTCATTGTTCAGCTGGGTGTACATTGGAAGAGGAATAGAGAGAAAGGAGAAGAAGAAAATCAAGATCTTCAATTTCTCTCTCAGATCTGCAGCGTTCGTTCCATTGATCGAAATGACTCGGGCCAAAAGTCAATGTTCATCTACGCAACGAGAGCTACATCTACATACCAAAAAGGACGGATTTTTGATGAAGTTCAAAAGATGGGATTTTGGAAAACGTTTGGATTAGAGCTTGTTTTTGGTTCTTAGAGCTTCATACGGTTATTTTACGCTTCAAAAGGTAGAAATTTCATCCTAACTAGGTATATTTTCAACCTAGAGTGATTATATGAAATGGGCAGGTTGTTAGGTGTATTTATCAATTGCCGATTGTTGTAAATTGATGGAATGGATATTAAAAATGGGTAGAATAAATTCTATCTTAAATTGGGTATATAAAAATTACTTAATGTAATTTCTTGAACTATGTAATAAAATTGGGCATTTTATGTGATCACATGATTTGGTGTCTTAAAGGTGTTTGATTTAATGTCTATGTAAAATTAAGTGTGTTTTGCATAGATTATGTATAACATGCTTGAAAACTTGTTGTTAAATGTAGATGTTGATAAATGGTAGATAATCTATTGACATTATGAGGATTTATAAAAATTATATACTTACAAAATAATTAACCATGGTGTATGTGAAATGTGGTTGAGATTGTTCATATGACACTCATTCATATTGGACATGATATAGTATCAATTGTACATTACATTGCATATGTATGGAGACATTGCATTATATGGGTGTGCGTGCATGGTTATCATCAAATATCACTCTTGGTGAATGATATGTAGGCTCAAGAAAGTTGGGCAAAGGTCCAACTGAGTCGCATGGTTTGCATTAAAAATTGGGGTCAGGGTTAGCAAGAAAGGCTAGACTGTCCCTCGGGTGCAGGACCCGGTGATTAAGATACACACTTCCTTGATTTAGTCCATAAAGTGTGTCAGTGTGAATGAAACTGTTGGTGAAAGTCCATAAATTTCGTGTTAGTTGGATGTTTGTTGATATAAGTCCATAAAATACCCACCCCAAAAAAGACTCGGAGATCTTAAATGGTAATTGGTTGTGTAGTATCAATGACGGGGGCTCGGGATGCCCGAATTTGCATGCATGACATTGCATGTGTTGAGGGAGCTAATGAGGCCTCGGGTTAATGTGCATGAGTGAGTCTCATCTCATATCATGGTATGACATGGTGAATTCCAACATTGAGTTGCATATTCTTGATTGAAATGCTTTGTGGCTTGTTGAAATTGCATGTGACATTTTATATGCATCTAGGTTGGGGAGTAGCCTCTTTAGGAGATACCCTATTAAGCGTGACCCACCCTTTATATGAAAAATATTTCAGGTGAGGGTTATACACAGGTGGAAGGCTCTCATTCGGGGCCTCAAGGATGAAGGAAAGCCAACTTGTGGCTTTCAAACCTTATATTGTAAAACGTTTCTAAAATTTGATTTTGGGCATGTAAATATGTGGAAATGATTGTAATAGAACTTATATGAATTGTATTTTGCTTAAACTTGATGTTATATGAGTTTGGTATGAGGTTGTATAAGTTTGGAATGGATTGGAATTGAAAAAGGAAGTACGAGATAAGGGTCATCCCAACAAGATCGAAGTTTGCCTTGGAAAATTGAGAGGCAAGAATTGTACAAGAGTACTTTTTGCCCCGGCTCAAATGATTTCTTCACGATGGAGTTATCATGAAAGATTTTGGCCCGTTCTTTTGAGATTTTGGAGCTCTCATACGCATCTCGTCGAATCTCTTCCAACTCATTTAGCTCTAACTTCCTATGATCACCGGTCATTCTCAAATTAAAATTTAAAGTCTTAATAACCTAATAGGCCTTGTATTCCATTTCGACTGGCAGGTAGCAAGTCTTTCCATAGACAACCCGGTAGGAAGACATGCCCAAAACAGTTTTAAAAGCAGTACAGTATGCCCAGAGGGCATCGGTCAATCTGTCGGACCAATCCTTCCTGTTTGGGTTAACCATTTTTTCTAGAATGTTCTTGATCTCCCTATTGGCCAGCTCGGCTTGGCCATTTGTTTGTGGGTTATAGGCAGTGAATACTTTGTGAGTGGCGCCATATTTGAACATTAAAGATGCAAATGACCTATTACAGAAATGTGATCCACGATCACTTATTATTGCATGAGGCATCCCAAACCTCGAAAAGATGTTCTCCTTGAGAAGCTTGACTATGACCCGGTGGTCATTAGTCTTTGTCGAGATAGCCTCCACCCATTTGGACACATAATTCACTGCTAGGAGGATGAACAAATAACCAAATGATATAGGAAAAAACCCATGAAGTTGATACCCCAACAATCGAATATTTCTATGACAAGTATTAGTGAAAGGGGCATCATGTTTCTTTGGCTCACACTACCCAACCGTTGGCATCTGTCTCATCCCTTACAAAATGAAACACAATCTTTGATAAGATAGGGACAGTGAAAACCTGATTGAAGAATTTTGGCCGAAGTCTTTTTCACCAAGAAATGTCCATCGCAGGCTTGTGAATGGCAAAATGCAACGACATCCTGCTGTTCATTTTCAGGTACGCATCTCCTCATGATTTGGTCGAGGCAGTACTTGAACAAATATGGGTTGTCGAAGTAGAAGTACTTCATATCCGCCATAAATCGTCTTCGATCTTCTGGGCTCTATTGCGGTGGTATTTGTCCGGTTGCAAGATAGTTACATATATTAGCATACCAAGGAAATACAGAATGAATTGAAAATAAATGCTTGCCAGGGAAAAAGTCAGGGATAGGAATGTGCTCATCAGCCTCTTGCACCATAAGCCGGGATACATGATCCGCCACCATGTTCTCAACTCCTTTCTTGTCCTTGATCTTCAAGTCAAATTCTTGTAAGAGAAGTATCCACCTAATGAGTCTCGGTTTTGCATCCTGTTTAGACAACAAATACTTCAAAGTAGAGTGATCAGTAAAGACAACAATAGACAAACCAATGATGTAAAAACATAAATCTAAGGCAAATACTACTGCTAGCAACTCTTTCTTGGTGGTAGTATAATTCATCTGAGCCTCACTAAGTGTTTTGTTAGCATAATGTATCACATATGGTCTATTTTCCTCCCTCTGACCAAGTACTGCGCCGACCGCGTAATCACTTGGGTGGTCATACGATCGGAGGTGTGACTAGCATGCTTTTAAGTTTTTTAAAGGATTTCTCACAATCATCCAACCCCTCAAACGGGACCTTCTTAGACAGCAGGTTGGTCAAGGGTCAGGCCAATGCACTGAAATTCCTTTATGAATCGACGATAAAAACCTGCATGGCCCAAAAATGACCAGATGCCCTTGATGGCTCCTGGCGTGGGGAGGTTGGAGATGGCCTCCACCTTGGATTTATCGACTTCAATACCCCTTGTCGAAACTATA